TATCAAATGAAATCCTTTACCTCTGCTGAGTTGGAATTACTCTCAGGGAAGATGACTCTAGAAACTCTAGATCTAGATTTAAAAGTCTCATCATTGAGCCTTGTTTGACCAATCTGAGAAGAGCTGATCTAATCTTCATGTCCAAGGCCACGGAATATGATTGGTCAAATGTAAGCCCTTCTCAAATACAGGAAGCTTAGAGGGAATGAGCTTCCTGTATCATTTAAGTATTGCTTATTGCAGAGAGACAAACCATTCCATATTTTGTGGCTTAAAATAATGGTTTATTATTTCTATGATTCTGTGAGTTTGCTGAGTTCAGCTAGGCAGTTCTGCCTCTGGTCTCCCACACTGCTGCATCCAAGTGGAACTTGGCTAGCACTGAAATGTCTATGATAGCCTCTTGTCACCTCTAGTCATTTCATTGTTTGGCTTGGACTTCTTTATGCATGCTAAAGGTCAGGAGGAATGGCCTCCATAGTTCTTGTCATTTTCCTGAATTGTGCTTAAACAGCATCACCCCCCCCCCCTTGGTACAGAAGACTTCATTCTAAGTCATTGGAAACAGGGAGCAGGACAGCAGGTGTTTTACTCACATTCAATATCTCTGATTGTTTTTGTTTTGTTTTGTGGTACTGGAGATTGAACCCAGAGGGGCTCTGTCACTGAGTTACATATCCAGCCCTTTATATATTTTAAATTTTGAGACAGGGTTTGGTAAGTTGCTCAGACTGGCCTCAAATATGTGATCCTTCTGCTTCAGCCTCCTGAGTTGCTGGAATTACAGGTGTGCACTACCACATCTGGCTTCTCAGCTTGTTTTCACCTTCAGATCCTATACATATATCAGGCTAGAAAAAAATCTGTCTGTGCTGAATTTACTTTTCTGTTAATTACTGTCATGAGTCCACCATTTTGACAAAGGCTAACTAAAGAAGCTTTGGTGGGTGTTTGTAATGCCAATAATGTCCCTGGAGAATACTCTTTCTAATACCTATTAGCATTGTAAATATTTATCTTCAGCCTCTCAGTTCTTAACTTTGCAGCTTCTGAGTGTGACACTAACTTTTAAAAAAAATCACCAAAGGGAGCTGAGGTGTTTGAGAATGCTATTGTATTCTCTGTCTACTAGATTTCCTGGAACAAAATTCTTTGTTGGCATAAATGGTAGTAGGTGGTGACTGTAAGTGGTCAGATATGGATGTAGCTCAGTTGTACCAAAGCTAGTGTTTCAATCCATCATTACCTTTCTTCCTTTTTCTTTTTTCCTTTTTTCTTTTGGTACTGGGAATTGAACCAGGGATGCTTAACCACTAAACCACATCCCCAGCCCTTTCTTATATTTTATTTAGAAACAAGGTCTCACTCAGTTTCTGAGGGTCTCACTAAGTTGCTGAGGCTGGCTTTGAACTAATGATCCTCCTGCCTCAGCCTCCCAAGCTGCTGTTATTACTGGTGTGTGCACCTAACTACCTTTGCACTATAAACCACCTTGAAATGTACAGCAGAGAATACGATGTGAAAATGTCACATGCCTCCATTCTAGGGCTCATTTAGTAGAGAGAATAACAGTCCTATAATGCAGACTGTGTACACTGAGAGAGGGATGAATGCTCCAGAAATTCAAGGAGCAGAGGAATGGCTTCATGCACGGGCAATCAACGAAGTCTTCACAGAGGAAGGGCCATTTCAGCTGAGTGCTGAATACTTCTGATAGGTAAGAATAGCACTCTTTAGAGGGTGCAGTTCAGGTATGAACATAAAGAAGAAGCTGGATGAAACAGACAGCAAAGCAAGTAGGTGAATATTTGTATCCCTGGTATCTTCTTTGGTGACTGGCACAGAGTTAGGTGCTCAATAAATGTCATATGTCCTGACTCATTGGCAGGGTTTTGGGGGTTTTTGTTCTTTTTTTGGAAAAAAAAAGAAGAAATGCTGTTTTAAATGTAAATATTGACTAGAAGACATACTGTATCACCGGATACATCATACTGCTGGCCGGACTGGCGATATGAACTGGGTTCAAAGGACCTGACTATATCAATAACTAAGAAAACCACACAGCACACTAACATAAGTTTCTGAGGCAGGGCGGCTGGGTTGGGTGATCCCAAGGGTCAGCTCCAGCACTGGAAGAATCAAGAGAGCGAGCATACCACAAACCTTCTATTTATTGGGGAAAAGACATTTGAGAAAGTTCTACCCCAATAAGGCAAGGGACTGGGTTTCAGGGGGTTACCCATCCCCATTAGGTAATGTCTGGGTAGGGCTTGAAGCAGGCTCTGTTGCCGACCAAGGGTAAAGGCCACTTACCCTGCACAGCTTTTGCTGTGCACCAGACTGCTACCTCCAGCGCTCCAGGCAGGGAAAGCAAGCTCAGCCCAGGGGCGATGGGTGGCTCTCCACAATACTGATGTCAAGATCTATAAAACGCGAGAACCAAGTACCTTTCTGATCTCAGCCACCTGGTATTGATGAATTTGAGTACAGCATGGCCTTTGAGTACTACAGCTGGAGAGGTTGAAATGGAATTAGATTGTGTGAGTGCCAGGAATCTAGACTAACAACAGGAAGTGTGCTAAGCTATTTTAAATATTGTTTTATTTAACCTCAGCAATCTTGGACAAGTGTTATTCATCTCAACTCACTGATGAAGAATGCAAGCTTGGAGAGGATTTAAAACCTTTTCCAATGCTAAATTGCTAGTGAGTAGTAACATTGTGTTCAAACTCAATATAAAAGTAATTATATATTTAATGTGACTGTTTTGTTTTTCTTTCTAATAATACTGTGCCCCTTCTTAGATGTGCTAATTTATCGACTCCAAAAACTAATAATTGACTTATTTAGGAGGGCAGAGGAGTTATACTTTTGTGTTAGGGTTTGATCCCAGGGCCTTATGCATATTAGGGTTTAGCTCTGACTCACTGAGCTAAACCCCAGCCCAAAAGTTCTGAGAAGCATTATATTTATTTTGGTTAAGGTGTCCAGCCAGAACTATATTTTTTTAGTTTGTTTTTCTTTTCTTTTTTTTTTTATCAAGTTCTCTCTGGTAAATTTTCATCAGAATTCAGTTGTAACAATTTTTTATCAAAATCAAAACACCCCCCCACCCCATTCTCTAATGAACTGGAGAAGTTTCCAAAATCTTAGAGGACAGGAAAGCCACAAGATGGGAACGGCTGGGCTCTGAGTGATCACTTGGAAAGCAGCCAAGCAATCAGAAATAGTTATTAAACATTACTTGTGTAAGGGGAAAAAAATCCTCTATTTTATTAAATTCCGGAGATGTGAGAATTGGTCTGTTCCTGGAACTGGTATTATTTTAACTAATCAGTTCCTAATATGTTTTAATCAAAGTTATGAAGCAAACAGTGAATATGAAGAAAATGTATTTATTTGGATTTGTGATTTGGATTGAATAGTTATGAGGATTTGAGTTATTCAATGACATATAAAGTAAAATTACCAAATGAACAGTTCTAATGTGTAAGTACATTTCCTAAGACAACTAACAATCATTCAATTCACTTTGGGTATATTTCCCCCGCAACCATGGGTGAAATTAGAATCATTTGGAGGACCCTTCCTCCCAAATACATTAGGGACAAAAAATCAAAATGAAAGGGAGGGACCTATATACTGTAGGAAATCAGAGTGACCTGCTATCATCAGGTTTGATTCATGAAACAGGTATAATGTGAGACCTTGAGATATGGAAAAGATCTGGATGGTCAGAAAGAATGCAGCACTTGTGGGCAGAGGGCAGACATCAAGAGAAAAGGCACAGGAAGAACGATATGATAGACATATGTGGGGTAGGAGGGAAAAGAGCCTGGCAGGTTCCAAAGGCAAGTGTGTTTCCTGGGAGATAAAGAAAAAGCAGTGAGCGACTGGACACTACAGTGAGACCCATTTGAATGTCAGTGTAATAACCAGAAACTGGGGTAATACCAACAGAAATGCAAGTCTGGAAACGAGACATTTCAAAGAAGGACTGTAGAGATTTTAAAAATCATGGGATGTAATGAAAACCAGTGAAATTAACCTGGTGCCACTGATAAAATTGAGGAGCTCTGGGAAGATAGCTAACTTGGTGGGGAGGTTTGGACATCTTGAAACTGAAGTGGGACATCCAACAGAAGTGGTGGGAAGACAACAAAAAACAGCAAAACTGAAGGACCAGGAAATGCTGATTGTGGAGAAAACTCTGTGCTGAATAGCTTCCTTCTCCTGCCCTCATCTACGCTAAGCCCTTTTCTACCCTTCTCCATTCCCCAGGAGGAAGGTTTGTAGGACCTGGGACCCCAAGCTGACATGCTTTGTCTTCTGGCTCCCAGTAGAGTTTAGCCAAAGACACAGACTGAAGGGATGCAGGAGGATAAAGTTGAAGTACTTCTCCCTGTTTTAGGATCTGGCTACTCCACCATTAACTCAAGGTCACAGCTCCTGGCCATTAGCATACAGGCTTCCAATGGCGTTCTCAGGCGGCAGGTATTCCAACCATTTTCCCTTCTCAAGGTGCAAGAACCCAGCCCAGCGCTGGTATGAAGTAGACCCCTAGTAACCAGACACTACCAGCGCATCTCAAAAAAGAGAGATCAGAGTGGAGAACTCCAAGTACCGCACTCGGATCAAGGAGCGACTAGCGTTTCCCAGCCTTGAAAAGAAGTCTGACGAATTACTAGGGGAAAATAAGTGAGTACCCGCCACGTGCCAGGCAGTGGGGTGTTTTCCCATCGTTCATTGCATTTAACGACCAGCAGCACCCATAGTAAACGGGTTATAATATGGGCTGAACCAGAAGTCAGCAGCAAAGGTTCAGGAGTTCGGGGGGAAGGAAACTCCCAGGAGCGAGTGTGCTGGGGGCCCAAGCGGCACCTTGGAGAGGAGACGCAAGGGTGCGCGTGGGGAGAGGGGCAGAGGCGCGCGTGCAGAGGCCACGCGCTTAGTCTCCGCATCCTGGGCGCTGCCGGCTGCCAGCCTCTGGGCCAGCAATCATGAGGACCAAGCAAGTGAACTTGCTCATCTCCTTCGTCGCGGTCACGCTCTTCAGCTTCTCCTGCTTCTGCATCTCCAGGCTGACTCAAACTTGTAAGCAGCGGGCGGCTTCTCCAGCCCCACTTGACACCCCACCAGGCTTCCAGGCTCCAGGAATGTGGGAGTGGCCGGGTAGGGGAGTGGGGTAGACTAGGCACCTGGTGGCGTTGACCTGCTTGCGTTTTAGGATACCGGCGTCGTGTTTTGCAATTGAAGTGCCCCAGGTCCGCGTCTGGCCGGCGGTTAAGCTGTAACGGGCGCACCTGGTCGTCTGTGCGGTGACCATGACCTGCCCCGCGCGCGCTAACGGACCTGGCGGCGGCCGGGACCTGGGCCAATCGCTCTGTGGCTTCAGTCCCTCCAATGGTCCCTCGCCTGTGAGGCTCCTTCCCCTCCAATGGTCCATAGACTCGACCTAGGTCCGGTCTTCCCCCCTCTTCTTCCTTCTCTATCGTTTTCAGAAACGAGTGCCAACGTCTTTCATTGTCTACAGGAGGGCCGATTTAGCAAGCAAAAAAAACATTGCCTAGTAAAATTGAATTTCAGATGAAGAATGATTTTTTTTAGTATAAAAAATTGCATGGGACATAATTCTAATAATTTGTTCCTCACATATCTGAAATTCAGCTCTAACTAGGTGTTTTTGTTTGTCAACCCTACTTGTACATAGTTGACCTTTAGAGTTCACATGATAAAAAATTTAAGACATAGGAACGTTGTAAGTTATCAATCCAAACTTCCAAAATTGTATTAGGTTGTTTTAGGTTAAATTGTCACTTTTTCTATTGAATGCATTTATATGACTCAGGTACACACTAAGTGATTTTAGTTAGCAGTAGGTTAAAGGTTTAAATTTGAGAAGGGCTCCATATTTGTGTTCTCTAGGGTCATTGTGTACACAAAATACCCACATACTCATTTCATAAATTTGAGAAGGGCTCCATATTTGTGTTCTCTAGGGTCATTGTGTACACAAAATACCCACATACTCATTTCAATGATTAGCAATGTACATTAATTTATCTGATTTATAAAATTTTCTCTAATCTTTCATTAAATCATTTCCATCTGTGATTTATGCATTATCCAAATGCATTTTTATGAGCATATTTATAACAAAAATAAGTGGTTTCCTGAAATTAGAAAGCAAAATGTAAACTTACAGTAATTTTGGAAGATAATTTAGAATAGTAGTTTCAGAGGATGTTTTGGTACCACTAATATTTTTATGATGAGATTGTAGACTTTGAAATACAAATCATTTTGATATGTTTTCTAGTTATGATCAGAAAGAAGAGGTTTGGTTCCTGAAACCATTTATATTACTGCCTTTCAGATATTCAAGCTCAGAAAATGGGATGCCGTTCTTGAAAATAAAACACTTTTAATTTAAAATAGCAGCTAAATTAGATTTTTCATTTTCTATGTATATGTTTCTATGGTGCCTACCTCTTAAATAACTAGAAAATCAACCCTGTAATAATGAGAGAGGTTCTTACATCAACAAAAGAAAACACAGACATCACTTAGTTTTTGATGTAGTGATTTTTATAAAGCACCTAGTATTTTGAAAAAATTGATCTGTAAGTATAATCACTATCAATGGAAATTTGGGGATATGTATGTCACAGCCAGGAGGCCAAGGGGAACAGGAGGTGATAGAAGGATGATGTCATAGGGACCAAGAAATGACCATGGGTTGCATTCTGTGTAAGACAGGAGCTGTGGGAGGGTTATATGTAGAGGAGTGGCATGTACTCACATATATATTTAAATAACTACTGAAGTGGACTGTGACAGAATCACAGAATGCTCCAAGAATTTTTGGCTTACAGTGGATTCTTCGACCTTAGCACTATTGATATTTTGCATTGGATAGGGGTTTTTGTTGTTGTTGTTTGTTTTTGGTTTTTGTTTTGTTTTGTTTGTTTTTCCTTTTACTCAGGTTGTCTTGTATGTTTAGTAGTATCCGGTTCCATTCAGTAGAAGCCTGTGGTAATACCCCATTCCAGCTGTGACAATCAGTGCTTGAGAGCCACTGGTTTAACCAGAGAAATGAGTTGCCATTTACCGAAGTGGGGAAGCAGCAGATTTGGGAGATTAAAATCAATATTTCTGTTATGCATGAAATATCTAATAGACTTCAAAGTGAAAAAACTCAAGAGGCAATTGGATGTGTCAGTCTGAATCAGGACTGGCCATATTTTGGGGGGAAATGGGTACTGGAGATTGAACTCAGGGCACTCAACCACTGAGCTACATCTCCAGCCCTATTTTGTGTTTTATTTAGATACAGGGTCTCAATGAATTGCTTAGCACTTTGCTCTTGCTGAGGCTGCTTTAAACTCGCAATCCTCCTGCCTCAGCCTCCGGAGCTGCTGGGATTACAGGCATGCGCCACTGTGCACAGCATGACTGGCCATATTAACTTGAAGACTCCAAGTGGCGTTTAAAGTCATGAGATTGGAAGAGACCACCTAGGAAATAGATGAAAAGTTCCAAGAAATAATCCTTGGGGGAATTCCAGTAGCTCAAAGTCAAGGAAAAACTAGAAAAGGGAGAGAGTGAAGCCAAGAAGGTATTTCCAGGAGGAGAGCACAACAGTTTTAAAATGCTGAGAGATGGAGTGAGTTCTCTCTAGTGCAGTAATAAAAAAACCACCTTACCCACAATCCTTAAAAGTCATCACTCCTGTTTTATTGGTGAATGCTGCAGCCACTTGATCTCCAGGGTCTCAACTGAAGTAGATAGTTCATCATTACCACCAAGACAATTTAGATAATTATTTTGCTAGTGCATATCATGGACTTATAGTATTCCATTTTGGGGGAACAGCATGGCAGGTTATCACTGCATTCAAGACCAAGTAGTACAAATAACCAATCCCAGATTTTCTCCTTTGAGACCTTGTTACCAGAGGAATGCAGCTACCCCAAGGGCCCCTAGTTACCCTGGAAAAGCCAGCACTTGCCTGCCACTAACACTGGATTTGGAGCTAGCATGCGGTTGCTGCTGTTGCCACTGCCTGAACATCTGACAGTCCAGCAAAGGCTGGCTCTCTGGTGGAGGAAACACCAAAAACAGAATAACATCTCCCTTACATACACCCTTTACTCTGACATAACCGCCTTCCAGTGGCAGAATACAAGAACACCACTGGCAAGGGAGTCTGAGGCAAGTAACAGATTTCTAGTTTTGTTCATAACAAAAATAATTTAGAAAAATCAATAAATACAAGTTTTAGAAAGTCCAGGAATAAGGAAAATAAAACCACAAATTATGTAGGGGCATATGTAAATATGACAAAAATTGTACTCCAAAAAGCAAAGGAATGATAAGCAGATACAATTCAGGAGAGTGGAAACATCAAGAGATAAGATAGGAAAGGAATCCACCAAGTCAAAGGCATTGGGTGACGAGTTAGCTGTATTCATTTCACATCACGCTGTATTATATCTTTTCTTTTGTATGTATACATTTTTTAAATGGAAAGAATTTGAATGGTGAGAATATAGAAGCAAGAAAATGGAAATGATGGTCACAGATTACCTAGCTCGCTAGAGAAGAGAGGAGCAATTAAAACACTTTTTAAAAAAATATTTATTTTTTTGTTGCAGTCCGACACAATACCTTTGTTTTATTTATTTATTTATTTTTATGTGATGCTGAGGATGGAATCCAGGGCCCTGCATGTGCTAGGCGAGCGCTCTACCGCTGAGTCACAATCCCAGCCCCAAAACACCTTTTTGAAAATGTTTTTAAATGAACACTAATATGCTTTTATATACATATGTAGTTGATTTATTAAAGTGGTTCAGCTAATTGGGATACAAATAAAAACAGCTTTTTCAATGTTTCTAGTAACTCTTCATGTGTTCTATTTAACTTCCTTACCTGCTTAACTACAGTTTCCTAGGGATCATGAAGACTCATTTTGTCTTTTTAGGGTAACTTTTATTTATCCATATAGTCTCATTTGTGCTTCTAAATTTTTATTCTTTTCAAGTCTTCAATGGCATAGTCAATTAATGGCTTCTTCTCTGTTACCTCCTGGACAGACTAGACTGTGGCTCTAGAAAGAAAAGGAATGGCAGGACAAGAAAGTGGTCTGCTCTCAGACAACTCCTTGTTGTTTGGTGTAAAACATCCTTAAAATTCAGTGGCTCTAAATGATCATTTTGTTTAACTTTTGACTTAGGAATTCAGGAAGGGCTCACTGGAGAGTTTGTCCATGATGGGAAGTGGTGACAGCCGGGACATGCAGGGCTGCCTCTAGTAGATCAGCTAGATCCACTACCAAGAAGTCTCTTGCACACATCGGTGTGGAATCTCTCCTCCCCCTGAGGTGGCTCATCCTCCAAGGCCTCTCCACTTGGCATTGTGGTCATAGCAAGAATGTACTTTTTTTTTTTTTTCCCTATAAGGCAGCTACCCTTCAAAAGGCAGAAAGTGGAACCTGTCCAGCCAAGTAAAGACTATACTCCAAAGTGGTAGAGCATTACTACTGCTGTAGTCAAAGTGGTCGCAGGGTGTACCCAGATTCAGGAGGAGAGAGATAGTATACCTCTTGATCAATGGTGGAAAAGATCACATTGCAGAGCACTATTTGATAGCCATTTGGGAGCCAGAGGTCTCCTTGTGTGTTAGCAGTGTGGTGGTTTGGATTTCTCTAGAAGATGCTTCTCTCTGGTGGCATCCAATGCTGATATATCCAATGCTGATATCTTCAGTGGGGTTGCTTGTGGCTGCTTCTGAGGGCCTGCTGGAGTCTCCCCACTGACCATTCCCTGGTCTAGGCTTATCATTTCTTCCTTGGGCCCTTCCTCCCTCCCTCTGACCTTGCCATAGCCCCTTGCTCCTTAGGTGACTCCTTTGTCACTGTCCAATAATATTCTCTGGAGCCACAGCAATACTTGCATCTTTGCCACTTCAGGCTTTGTGCCTGAAGGCTCCTTTCAGAAACGGCTCAGGGCTTAGCATCTCGTCTCCCTCCCTCCTGCTCCTTGTCATCTGGCAGCATGATATTTCTTATAGTCCAGTGGCTCTGTAATTTC